TTGCCGAGACCGTAGGATTTTTTCGACATTTTTTCGGGATTTTTTTGACGTGCGTACGAGTCGTTGAAGTTACGGTTTTAGAGAGATAGAGAGTTTAGAGAGAGAAAACAAAAAAATATAGTAAAGGGTATTTTCGTAATTGGGGGGGAGCGGTGACTAGTAATAGGGGGCGGTAAATAGCAATCCACTAAGAAAGGATTATACAGATCAAACGGGTGATATTAACCAACTACATCGCACGACGGAAAAGATGAGTTATACATATAAAAGCAAATGAATCTCGTAACCCTAGTCCATTTCCCCCAACCATCCACCACATTCTCGCCACAACATTCGGGTCATTTTTTTAGCACAATTCACCAAAATTAGAAAACTAAGAACACTATCCAAATTTTGCTAGCTCGATTTTTAACACAACCAAAATCTGTCTTTATATGCCAGAAATTACCGGGTTTCATCGATTTACCTCATGAGTTGATCCATAGTGCAGTCAAAATTAAGAAATATTTTGAAGATCATGAAGTGATCTGGTTGGTTCTGTAACATCCCGTCTAGACTTACTAAAATCAGAGTAAATTTTTCACGCTATAAAAGAAAAACTCTGATTTAATATTTCGAAAATACTTTAACTTTAATATGCGAGATGTTACTCAACTTTAAAACTTAAAACTTTAATCTCTAATATATTTAAACTACTAGGTATGCAACCGATTACAATTCATAACTCTATTAAGGCGCCATGAACATCTCAGGATTTAAGCATGCATAGACTGAAATTCTAGATCTACCTTACTATTAAATAAGAAAATATGATACCTTTGGAGAGAGCGACACGTGACTACATGGTTGCGCTTCTTTTGGGCTCTTTTTCCGGTGATTTTTTCTTTCTTTTTTTTTATGCTATTGGGAGTTTTAGGGCTTGATTGTTTATGAAATAATTTGTTCAAATTGAGTTATTTTGGTTAACTATAGTTAATTTTGAAAAAAGTGGTATGGTTAGTTGTAGTGGAATTTTAAGAATGTATTAAAATAATATTTAAAATAAAATAATTAAAAATGATTTGATGTAAAAGTAAGAGATAAATAATTAGAAATGATTATGAATAGTGAATTAAAGTTGATGTGATGTGTAAGAATGATTGGTTTGTATTATTTAATTATATGAATAATATTAAAGATAGTGAGGTTGAGTTAAAGTTGTAAGAATCGACTAAACATCATTTTTCCTTCTTCTTCTTAGGGTTTCTCCTCTCGCGAAAAACGAGAGGAAAATCAATCATCACCGCCTTCTGCCTGATAATCCCGACCACGAGGAGTTGCCTGACGACGACAAGGCAGAAATTAAGAGAGAGAGAGACAGGGAGGAGATAACCGACGACGGGATAGATAAAGTGAGACCCGGCGACGAGGGCCGAGCTCCGCTGCTACCGAACGGCGTCCTTTTATGCTTCGTCGACTACAATCGCCGCCCTTCCATCTGATCGAGATCCGGCTGCTAGAAATCCGCTTCATTCATCATCGGTAACAAATTCGAACGCTCGACATTCATTTTCCGCTAATGTTGAGCTCGATTAATGGCGTCCTTTTTCTGTGAATTTTTTGCTTCAGGTGTTGAGGGGTGGAGAGATTTTCTTGCTACGACATAAGCTCGAACCCGATGACCTATTTCACGGGCCCATTGGGTCAGTCCATGACGGCGGCGGCGAATGTCAACGCCTGGAACAGTATGACGACGCTCTTGCCTCTCTCCGACGCTTTTGTCGCCGATTCTGTTTTAGGCAGGTACCGGACTATTATCGCTGTCTCACTACTCTACGTCTTGGTAAGTAGTACTCAATAGGTAATGCATTTGTTAGAGAAAATAATCGAAAAAGATAAATTTCTTATCAGAAAATGAGGCATTTTGTTTTTTTACTTTGTAATAACAATTTGATTTGTTATTAGATCTTTAATTACTTCAAAAGTTTTTTTTTTTTTTTTCCATTTTTCCTCTCTGTTGTCTTTGTCTTTGTGTTAATCAGAATATAGGTCACTTAGTGGGTCGGATCCAAAGTGAGACCCGGCGAGGCGGGCCGAAGCCAATCTGCTTCGAGACGGCGTCTACAAAAGGTCAATACGATGCAAATAAGGTTTATATGACTCGCGCATGAGAGGAGCTGGTACGTTTTCGATCTGTATCACCGGAGGAAGGAGATATCGAAGGAATTGTATGATTTCTGTCTAGATCAGGGGTACGCCAACCGCAACCTGATCGCAAAGTGGAAGACGCCCGGTTACGAGAGACTTTGCTGTCTGAGATGTATGCAGCCCGAGGACCATAACTTCCAAATGACATGCTTTTGCCGAGTACCGAAGCATCTGCGCAAGGAGAAGGTCGTGGAGTGTGTGCATTGCAGCTGTGGGGGATGTGCGAGTGGGAATTGAGGATTGCGGTCGTGGTACTGCCAAATTTCATCTTGGAGTATGAAGTGAATAAGATTCACCCGGGCTCCTTCAACTCGAACCGGCCTCCGTACCTGCAGAACCCAACGCCGGGGGTGGCCCCGGCGTCGGGCCTCCGATGCCTAAGTCAGTGCTCAGATCAAGAGAGATAAAGAGTGTAGTAATGTAATGAATAGAGGATGAGAGAGTGAGGTACCTTGGCCCCCTTTTATAGGGGGAGTGTACCTTTTGGGCCCAAGTTGGGCTTGACCCCTATCGTTGGGCTTAGATGTCTTAGTGGGCTTATCCTCCAATATGTATCCGCTTTATCCATTAAACCGGGTCCAATATAATATCCTATATCATCTAGTCCCCCCACTCTGGTCGAGTAAGCATAACTCGATCCAAGAGTGAAATGCCTCTTCGAGCTGTTTTCTTCAACTTGCCACTAAGATCGAGCATCGAAAGTCGTATGACCATTGAATAACCACTGAAATATCCTCCAGATGAGCTTTGAGATCTCAAGATCGAAAACTAAGAGACCGTTGAGGTCAAAAATTGAGATTCGAGACCGCGTAGGTCGAAAACCGAGAGTCGAAACTGCGTAGGTCGAAAACCGAGAGTCGAAACCGCGGAGGTCGAAAATGAGAATCGAGATCGCTGAGGTAGAAAACCGAGAGTCGAGACCGCGGAGGTCGAAAACCGAGAGTCGAGACCGCGTAGGTCGAAAACCGAGAGTCGAGACCGCGTATGTCGAAAATCGAGAGTCGAAACCGCGGAGGTCGAAAACCAAGAGTCGAGACCGCTGAGGTCAAAAACCGAGGGTCGAGACCGCGGAGGTCGAAAACCGAGAGTCGAGACCGCGGAGGTCGAAAATGAGAATCGAGATCGCTGAGGTCGAAAACCGAGAGTCGAGACCGCGGAGGTCGAAAATCGAGCGTCGAGACCGTGGAGGTCGAAAACCGAGCGTCGAGACCGCTAAGGTCGAAAACCGAGCGTCGAGACCGCGGAGGTCGAAAACCGAGAGTCGAGACCGCGGAGGTCAAAAACCGAGAGTCGAGACCGTTGAGGTCGAGAATCCAAAAACCGAGTAATCACCGATGGGGTCGAAAAACAAGAACTGAATAGCCACTCACTGAAGTCTTGAATTTGAAAATTTGAACTTATGCCTGTTGCGTTTCGATCATCCTGCTCGAACTCTCTTATACCCCCTCGTCCTATCGCCCCTTAGTTCAAAATTTAAAATTCAAGCCTGTTGTATATCCTCTCAAAACCCAAACAACCTGATTTCGTGGATTGCTCTGAATGAACTCCTCGACCTACTACCAAGGTCGAAAAATAGATTTGACAAGACCAAACCAAGCAAAATCCACCAACCTGCTTGTGTCGTAATGAATCCCATCTACCTGCCCTGCTCGAGCCATAGTGAGTATACTCGACCCGCCACTAAGGTCGAAAAATAAATTCGATAAACCAAATTCAACAAACAACAAGACCAGAATCAACAGACAACCTGCTCGAGCAAAATGAATATACTTGACCCGCCAAGGAGGTCGAAATAAGCAAATTCAACAAACCAGAATCAACAAACAACCAAACCAGAATCCATAAACAACCTGCTCGAGCAAAATGAATATACTTGACCCGCCAAAGAGGTCGAAATAAACAAATTCGACAAACCAGAATCAGCAAACAACCAAACCAGGATCCATAAACAACCTGCTCGAGCAAAATGAATATACTCGACCCGCCAAAGAGGTTGAAATAAGCAAATTCGGCAAACCAGATCCATAAACAACCTGCTCGAGCAAAATGAATATACTCGACCCGCCAAAGAGGTCGAAATAAACAAATTCGACAAACCAGATCCATAAACAACCTGCTCGAGCAAAATGAATATACTCGACCCACCAAAGAGGTCGAAATAAGCAAATTCGACAAACCAGATCCATAAACAACCTTCTCGAGCAAAATGAATATACTCGACCCGCCAAAGAGGTCGAAATAAGCAAATTCGGCAAACCAGATCCATAAACAACATGCTCGAGCAAAATGAATATACTCGACCCGCCAAAGAGGTCGAAATAAGCAAATTCGACAAACCAGATCCATAAACAACCTGCTCGAGCAAAATGAATATACTCGACTCGCCAAAGAGGTCGAAATAAGCAAATTCGGCAAACCAGATCCATAAACAACCTGCTCGAGCAAAATGAATACACTCGACACGCCAAAGAGGTCGAAATAAGCAAATTCGGCAAACCAGATCCATAAACAACATGCTCGAGCAAAATGAATATACTCGACCCGCCAAAGAGGTTGAAATAAGCAAATTCGACAAACCAGATCCATAAACAACCTGCTCGAGCAAAAATGAATATACTCGACCCGCCAAAGAGGTCGAAATAAGCAAATTCGACAAACCAGATACATAAACAACCTGCTCAAGCAAAATGAATATACTCGACCCGCCAAAGAGGTCGAAATAAACAAATTCGACAAACCAGATACATAAACAACCTGCTCGAGGAAAATGAATATACTCGACCCGCCAAAGAGGTCAAAATAAACAAATTCGACAAACCCAAAATCAGATAAAGTTCCTCGACCTGCTCGAGCTATCCATAGTAAAATATATCGACCTGCCTCTGGGATCGACAACACAAATATAGCATAAGTAAACCAGATAAAACCATCACCCTGCTCGAACTATCCATAATAAACTCAATTGACATGCCATTGGGATCAAAAGCATAAATACAGCAGACTGAATCAAATGAATCCATCAACCTGCTCGAGCTATCCATAGCGAGTTTGATCGACCTGTCATTGGGGTTAAAAGCACAGTACCACAAAACCAAATAAAATGAATCCATTAACCTGCTCGAGCTATCCATAGCGAGTTTGATCGACCTGCCATTGGGGTTAAAAGCACCAGTACCACAAAACCGAATATAATGAATCCATTAACCTGCTCGAGCTATCCATAGCGAGTTTGATCGACCTGTCATTGGGGTTAAAAGCACAGTACCACAAAACCAAATAAAATGAATCCATTAACCTGCTCGAGCTATCCATAGCGAGTTTGATCGACTTGCCATTGGGGTTAAAAGCACAAGGACCACAAAACCGAATATAATGAATCCATTAACCTGCTCGAGCTATCTGTAGCAAGTTTGATCGACCACTCGGAGGTCTCCAATAGGCTCCTTGTCTCCACTCGCCCACCCCTTGTGCGGGATGTTCCGAAAACGAGGAACTTTGGTCTTCTCGCTTGCCCACCTCCGGGGGTGTTCCGAAAACAAGTGACCCTCGCCCACCCCTATCATAGGATCAGGGATGTTCCAAAAACGAGGAACTTTGGTCTTATCTCTTGCCCACCCCAGGGGGTGTTCCGAAAACAAGCGACCCTCGCCCACCCCTATCGTAGGATCAGGGATGTTCCGAAAACGAGGAACTTTTTTTCTTCTTCACTAGGACGACCTGCCACTGAGGTCAAAGGGAGAAACACCAAATACAACAAGATAGGATAGTAATCGATCATTTCCGTTAGTGTCTTCAAATGTATAATTACGCCGAACAAGATAATAAATATCAAATGTATTTGATCTCCCTTTCATGGTTGTAATGGTAACGTGTGCTCGAATTCTTCGACCTGCCACTGAGATCGAAAAATAAAACATCGAACAGAACGAGATATAATAACACCCGATTATTTTGTTAGTCATCGAAATAATAATCCAAATATGCCCATGTACCTCACCATGCCATCAATTTCACCAAAAATGTTCAAACACTCATATGTGTCGATCAAACTCGTCCACCGAATCAAAAGTTGAGAATAGTTTTGTACCTGAAGGTCGAGAATACTACTCCAACTTGTCTTACCTCTCCAAAACAGAATGAATTGTGCCTTTGAGATTGCTACCGGTGATCGACATCATCCATGCTCTTCCTCCATTATCCCCACCTTTTATGGATCTATGATCGTCCACCATAGCTCGTCCAGACTCGGGTTATTTTGTTGTTTCCTCGACAAGAATTCAGAGAGACATCATTATCCACATTATATTCAAGTTATCCGTTTTGTAATGTTCCACGCAAGAAAAGCAAGAGATCAAATATAAATATCACCATCTTCTCGGCTTAAAATATGCTCAAGCAATGACATGTTTAAAGATTATGGATGATCAATTCGACATAATTCCATATTTCCACACGGAAATCCAAATAAATGCTCCAGGTATATCAAGATATCCAATTATATAAATATAATCCAAGTCCTCGAGCAAGTCAAATAATTTCGCAATCCAATCAAATAATCCTCCATAAGTAAACTAATCTTCCATGAATAATCAAATACATCCACGATCAATCAAGTAATATATAAGCATAAATTATATAATGCTCCACGAGTGAACCAAATATTTCCACGAGCAAATCATGTAATTTATCCATGAATATACCAAGTGATCTCCATTTCACCAATTAAAAATCCTCAATCTCATTATTTAAAAGAACCACATACCTTCATCACGAAAATTATATCTCAAATTATCTTACCGTCCATCTCGAATCACCCGGAATTAGATTTGAGCATAAAAATGGGATTGTCAAACCATGTTGGTACCACTTTAGGCCATGTATGGGCCGGATTTTAGCATTGGGCCGCTGGAAACGGCTGTTGGGCCGCGCTGGGGAGTAGAGCTGCGTCGTTTGGCCTAAAAAAAAAAACTCGTGTTGGGCCGCGCCTATTAGTGCTGGGCTGCTGGATTGCTCGCGGGCCCATTGCGGGCTAGGATCCGGCCAGCGCGGGCTGAAAATAGTGAGGGACACGGGCTGGCTATGGGCTCTCGCGGGCCAGGGGTTGTGGGAGAATCGGGCCGCGCGGGCTGAACGCGACCCGCGCGCTGGGAGTGGATATTGGGCTGCGGGATTTGTGCTGCGCAAAGTGGGCCGCACTTACCATCTGCTGGGCCGCGGGAGACGGGCCTCTGCGCTGG